TCTGCGTTAGTTTCCTTTCTCTTGGTATTTGCTGGAGTTCCCTGCAGTGGTGGGCAGTGGGAAAGTAGAGCAGTGAACAGTGACTGTGGTTTTCCAGCTATACCTTCTCTGGGAGCAGACTGGAGGGGATGCACTCACCAGGGCCCACTTCAGGGTTCCTGGACCTGGGCGAGGGCTGGGGGTGGTGGAGCTTTCCAGACTACCTGCTGACAACCCATCCAGGCATGACAGCCCGTGTAAGTAAGGCAGTAAGTCTGATGTGTTCAGCTGATGGTATCTTGTCTCCTGATGATGCTGAACTGTGTGTTTTGCATAGAGGAAGTCATGCTGGCTGAAGAAAACAAAAATTCTGGGACCTCAGCCTTGGAAGGTAAGACAAACAATACCCTTCTTAAAAATCTCACTACCCTTCCTTCTACCTGCCCGTAGCTGGAGGTTGAAACCCTTCAGCTGTGATGGGAGGTCTGGGGATACCCCAGCGGGATCTTCAGCCCAAGAGAGGAGTGTGGGGGGGTGAATTGATGGCATAACCCCCGAGACAATGTGGAGGCCAGGAGGTGTCTGGTTCCATGAAAGAGAGAGCTCTGGACTAGGGTCACCTGAGTATCTCTGCCTTACTACCAGACCTGAAATAGCTAAGTACTAATCACCATGTCCTGGTCCAATGAGCTGGCTACCAACAGAGTAGGTGGCCACATAGTTGGGCCACTGTGGCTCTAGCACCCATTCCTCTTCCCTTCCCAGTGCTCAGGCGAGCGACCATCAAAAGGAACCGGACAGATGCCATGAACCGTGACTCGAGTGATGAACACTGTGTTGATATCTCCTCTGTAGGCGAGCGGAGGCTGGCACAAAGAAGACCGCTTCATCCAACCTTGGGTCAGTAAAGTTTGCAGCTTGCTTCCTCAAAACTTCTGCCATCTTAATGAGTTGCCAAAGTCATATCCATCATGTGGAGAGTATCATAGATCAGCCATCTCTGCTAGTTTTGCAGCAAAGGGAGTAAACCACCTGCTGCCTCCCTGTGCCACATAAAAACTGCCTGGATAATTTGTGTCCCATAAAAGCAGTGTCTGTGAGCCATCTGTCCTGTCTCGTTGCAGGGAAGGCTGAGGCACTGAACTTCTCCTCTCGCCTTGACTGGCGCACTCAACTCCTTGTCCCCACTCTTTTCCTTTAGGTAACCCCTTGAGTCATTCTGGCCTCAAAGGCGCCAGAGTGGACGGTGCCTCCTACTTACGGCACAAGGAGCGACTCCTGCGCATCTCTGTTCGCCACATGGTGAAATCCCAGGTCTTCTACTGGATCGTCTTGAGCCTGGTGGCTCTCAACACTGCCTGTGTGGCCATCGTCCATCACAACCAGCCAGCCTGGCTCACCCACTTCCTCTGTGAGTCCCTGGGCTTCGTGTAGATGTGAGAGCCACTTCTTGCACCAGGGCATGTGGGGATGAATCCAATGAGAGACGTGCTGCTATCGAACTGGGTGGGGAATAACCTGAAGTACATTTGTTCACTGTTGATAACAAAGGACCACATACAGTTTAATTCAGCTTTGCCCTTGGCTTCATGGCCACTGATGGTTGTCTCAGCCCTGTGAACAAATATGAAGGAGTTGTACTGACCATATGCTCTTCAGGTCTGGTGTATTTATCAAGAGAGAGAAACAGACCTGAGTTGGGTTTATCCTAAAATTGTGAACAGTGGTGATGGAAAGCTTGCTGGAAATACATCTATGAATGCCCACAAGCAACTGCTGAAAAGGTGTAAATTTGCAGAGATGGGACTGGCTGTGGGAAAACCCCTGATTAAAGATTTGGTGCAGAGCATGGCATGGAGATCCCAAACTTGAAACCAGTTACTGGAGCATTCCCCAGCCCACTGTAGGCTATGGTACAAGGTCAGGTCTCAGAGGCAGTACACCCATGTCTGTTCTAGCGTGGTGCTAACTGCAATGCAGTGTGGTCAACCCCACAGCAGCCATGTTACCCCTGAGCTGCTGCAGTAGGGACAATGCTGCTTTCTCAGCCATATTATTCTTACTTACCTTGAAATTGTCCCTGTCAAGCAGTGGGCCTGTCCAAATCTTCATTAGCATGCTCAGGCCTGCTGGGATCCCAGCACGCCACAGTGTGGTATGGCAGCTGGTCATGGTGAGAAGCATCTTTTGGACAAGGTGAAGAGCCAGACTCTTGCCTGGTAATGTTCATGAAATAGCTGGAGAAGCTTTTCAGTGGCTCTTGGCTGTTTGGCTCAGTTTCCCTGGCCATGTTCCAGTTGTGCAATGATTTTAATCAGGTTGCTAATATTCCCCTACAGTGTCATGTGGTTAATATCTTTGCAGATGCCGTAACCACTGTTTGTAATGCTAAAGAGCTGCTCTGCTCCATGCTGGCTATCTCTGGTCTTCTCATACCCCTTGTACACTAATGCATCTACCCTGAATGATTAACTTGTGGGATTGATGCTCTGTTATATACAGTTTAGCTCCTCACAGACAAGCTTCCCTCATCCCAGACCCTTAAAGCTTGGGGAAGAGCATGGTCCTCGATTTGTCCCATCTCTGTGGTGTGCTGTATGGGCCACTGGTGGGTGTGTGCAGGATGCTCCACACAGCTCTGTGCCCCAGGGGTAGCGTGTTTGGGTTTTCTCTTTCAGACTATGCAGAGTTCCTGTTTCTTGGTCTCTTCCTCCTGGAGATGTCATTAAAGATGTACGGGATGGGGCCACGCCTTTACTTCCATTCTTCTTTCAATTGCTTTGACTGTGGGGTAGGTGTCCCCAGAGATGCTGTGGGTGCATGGGGAGATGTTTGGAAGGCATCTGCAGTGCAAAGCACTAAGGGGGAGAAGAATGGGATGGCCCTTGCAGTGGACAGGGGAGCCCTTTTTACCGGGATAGCCTGCCTGTGCCAGACTGAGACACCAGGTTTTGGGCAGGGTAGCGGGTGCCTTGTCTTCAGACATGTGAAGATTTCCTGCAACAGCCTGTCTGAGCCTGTCTTTGACTCATGTCTGCTTTTCAGGTCACAGTCGGAAGCATCTTTGAAGTGGTTTGGGCTATCTTCAGACCAGGAACCTCTTTTGGGATCAGTGTCTTGCGAGCCCTTCGTCTCCTGCGAATATTTAAAATAACCAAGTAAGTACTGACTGTCCATGCCTGTCACCCTTCAGCTCAGACTGTGTCTGCAGCCCAGATCCAGTTGCTCCTGTTATCCTATTAGCATCACTGCAAGTGCTCTAGCAATATCTGTTTTCTAGGTATTGGGCGTCCCTGAGGAATTTGGTGGTCTCACTGATGAGCTCCATGAAGTCTATTATCAGCCTCCTTTTCCTCCTCTTCCTCTTCATTGTAGTCTTTGCCCTGTTGGGAATGCAGCTGTTTGGAGGCAGGTAGGTCATTTTACATCTGGGGAAAAGGAATTTTTTTGGTGTTAAAGCCAAGCAATGACACCCTCTTAGATGCCTAGGAAGACTGTAGCCTTTCCCCTCAGTCTGCTGTTAACAGTGCTACTTCTCCCATACAGAGGTCCCCTGCTCAGTGGGTGCCTTTAGGCTGTGTGGGTCCTTCTGGCCAGTAGACCTTTCAGATTCTGGCACCAAACGCTCAGGAGACCTTCTTTAAAGTGGGGAAAGGTCCTCCTAAGCACAAGAGAGCTGACAGCACAGGATTCAGGGGTTTGATGTCCTTGGTACTCCAGCCCATTAGTGTCTTCTCAATTCCACTTCCAGATTTAACTTCATTGATGGGACACCATCAGCCAACTTTGACACTTTCCCTGCGGCCATCATGACAGTTTTCCAGGTAGGAGCTGAGCTGCAAAGGGGCACAACCGAAGGAACTTGGGACCACTGGTTTGCTCTCTCCTGGTTGGAAGGGGTTCTTTAAACCAAACAAGTTCCCCTCCATCAGCTGTTAGGATATAACTCACTTCCTCCCCCTCTTCTCCTGTATAACTAAGTGGATGGAAAGAGATGGAAACTCTTCTGAGGAGATCTAAATCCTCAGCAGTGTCCAACATCATCTCCCTCAAGTGCTGCAACTGCAGAATTCGGTTATCCACTGCACAGGACCTTTGTATTTGGCTCCTGCATGTTGGTGGGATAGATCAAGGGGGCCGTCCAGGTGATGGGAAGGTGTGGGTGACAGCTGCTGTGGTTTGCTTTCCTACAGATACTGACGGGTGAGGACTGGAACGAGGTGATGTACAATGGCATCCGCTCCCAGGGAGGCGTTCGCTCAGGCATGTGGTCCTCCATCTATTTCATCGTCCTCACCTTGTTTGGAAACTGTATCCACCTGGCTGCTGTGCTTTTATTGGAGACAACCCCATCTCATCACCCTCTCTGGGGGCATCCCCTTCCCCACCTACTGCTCCTACCTCCTTTCCCAACTGAGGGAGACACATCATAGGTGCAGCAGCCCTGTATATCCCAAATGCAGAGAAGGAGCTGTCTGGATGTGCACTGAGGGCTGTATATATGGGATGAGCGAGGAGTTTGTCCTTTTGGCTGCTCCTCACCAGCTGGTGAGGAGCCATCAGGGCCACCTTCATTTGGTGGCTGCAGACACACACGTCCTTAACACATGGCTTGTGCATCCTTAGCTGCTCGCAGATACTCTGCTGAATGTGTTCTTGGCCATTGCGGTGGACAATCTGGCCAATGCTCAGGAGCTCACCAAGGTACGTTCTTGTTGATCCCTTTATTTCTCTTGTGCAGAAACTGAAGGAGAGGGCCAGCAGGAAAGGCACCAGAAGCAGTGCCTGTGACTGTCCTTATTCTAGAGCCAGAGCCACCAAGTCCCTTAGCTCAGCCTACCTTAAAAAGAGGTCAAATTGGAAATGGAGGCTCTTTCTCCAGGTCAAATTGGAGGTCAAATTGGAAATGGAAGCTCTTTGTCCAGGAAGGTACTTAGGGTGCTCCCCTGAAACACAAACCCATGTTACTGGGCAAAGCCATTTAGACTTTGATTTAGGAAAGTGCTTAAACCTTCTAGTCTCTGCAGGAACACCCATATTTCCCATCAAGTGTGGCTTAACTATTTCTCCATTAAGCTTCCCAGTTTCATTTGCCTCCAGTCAGACCACAATAACTCTTACCTGTCTGACGGGATCTGATGCAGGGATGGTTATTTGCCAGAGTGCTCTGGAGATGTGGAGTGGGAAGGCTTTCCAGTAGTGGCAGTATTTATTATCTATCTACCCACAGGGCAGTGGACATGATTTAGGATGCTGTTTAGGATGGTGCTTGAGAAGGTTATTGGGCTTAGCTGTTTTTAAGACCATGCTGGGAAATATTTTGGGAATGCTAAAGTGTTGGGGCACCATCTGGATAATGGTGAGTTGATGAGAGCTGCAAGGGTCATTGCCACTCTTTAGAGTGAACCAGTGATTCCGTGGTGCCTGTTTTTTTGCAGAGCCCATGCCTATTACTCAGGTCCCTGAGGCTCACTGAGACATTTCCATGCCAGTGTAAATCTGACCCATTAGCAGCAAACAAAACAGGGCATGGTGTTTGCTGGCTTGGAGGGGTGTTGTGTGGGTCCCTGTCCTCCTGTGGTGGGTGCAGGTGGCACTGCCAGGGGCTGCTGGCTGCGCTGGGTGAGAGGGGTGGGGAAGCCCCATGGTGTACCAGCAGCATCAATTAAGAGAGTGCTGAGCTTTTGAAAAGGCTGAATGTGTGCTAATGACTCCTAATGACATTTTTTTTCTCCAGAGACATAACCATATTAATTAACGCAATACAGTCTCTGCCGGGGTCATTTGTGGATGTCTTGCCTCCCACTCCATTGGTGGATGCCTATCTCACCCCTGTGGCGGTGAAGAAGGGAGGGCTGAGCTGGTCTATGCTGTCTGGGGCTGTTCTAGTATGCACAGCCCGGCTCTTGTCTGGGGTGGGCTGGGTTCACTAGTTTAAGTAGCGCTGACACCTTCAGTAAGATCTGGTGTAGTGGGGAAGTTGTGTCCCCATAGCACAAGTTAAAGGCTGTCTCTGGAAGTACAGGTCCCCTTTCTCCTGCAGGCCTTGGCATCTGAGGTAGTCCCGTGCATCCCTTGCTGCCTCCAATGGCTGTACCTTTGCTTGAAACCCTAGCATCCAACTAAACACCTCTCCTCTTTCCTCTGCAGGATGAGCAGGAGGAAGAGGAGGCATTTAACCAGAAGCACGCCCTTCAGAAAGCCAAAGAAGTCAGCCCCATGTCTGCCCCAAACATGCCTGCTATCGAGTGAGTGACACCCCCAACTCCTGCTTACTCCAGTGCCCCCGCAAGCCCAGCTAGGCTTCTCTTCCCAGTGGAGAGCTGAAGTGGAGCCTGACATGGCTGGATGTGGGGGCTGCCACAAGAAAAAGAGGTCTCTGCACAGGGTGTCTTCCTGAGGATGGATGAAGATCTAGGAGCATGCTCCCTGTGAGCAGCAGTAGCTTCAGAGAGGTGTCAGAGTGGGGTCCAGGTCACCCCATAGGACCTGGAATTGCCCACCTCGGTGCTTGAGCATGGCAGAAATAAGCTAAAAGAGGCTTTCTGCCCCACATGTGCAGCTCAAACACTCAGGGCTGTGCTAGGGGTCGGAAAGGAGGTTGGGAAGGAGGAATGTATCTCAAGTTTTTCTTGAGGAAGGGTGATATTTGTTCCTGTTTCTTCATGGCAGAGCTGTGGGAGAGCAGCCAGGGCTGGGGGTGAAGGGAGCAGCAATGTCACAAATGTCCCTCAGGCTCTTTGCCTGGTAATGAATGCAGTTATGAGATATAGAGCAGGTTTACGAAACCAGGTCTTATGGTACAGAAATTTGATCTGGGCAAGAAAACATAGCCCCAAACCACATAAACCCCCAGCATGGTGTTAAGGGGCCTTGTATCTCTGTTTCAGCAGAAGAAAATTCTCTTTTTTCCTTTCTAGACACTTTTTTTCCCTTTTATTTTGCAGTGTCATATGGTCTAAATCACATAAAACTTTCCAAGTCAACATTGGAACGAGGCGTTTTGATTTGTTTCCCAAAACAGTACATTTCAGTATGGCTCAAAGGATTTTTTATTTTTTTTTCCTTTTTTTTATAGAATCCCTTCCCAGGGAATTTTAGGTTTCGTTATGCTTTGAAACTCAGCCAAGCTTGTACACAGCAGAATCTCTTGCAGATATACTGAGAGAAACTGCTGTCTTCAGGCGAGCAGTTGGGAGGTGTCGAAGGCAGCACTGGAATAGCCCCATCCCTGGCTTGGCTGCAGTGGGATATAATGGTCCCCCATCCTGCATACATCACACATGGTTTTAGGGGCAGCAGGAGCTGGGGGTACTTGTAAGCCCTGCCTGGTCTCCCAGGCAGCTGCAGATATTGCCCTGGTTTGGCAATGATGGGATGTTCATAATAAATCTGTGCCTGGCCAAGTAGTGGGGGGTGGGGGGTGGGGGTTACAGGCGAGATGGCAGAGTTTGTGTGTTGTGACTGTCTCTGGCTACCAGTGGGAACATGTCAGATAAAGCAAGGGAATAACAGGCTTTAGGATACAACAGAGGCTGGAGAATGGACAAATAGGAGAGAGAAGGAAGTGGAGATGGAATATATTGGGCACTAAAGGATTTGCCCATGCTGCACATCCCTGCTGGAGTTTTCTAGCCATTGTCAGATACAGCTGGTTTGGAAAACAAATCTCTTTAACCTTTTGTTATTGTTCTAGTGGCATTGAAATGGGAGGTATTGATATTCACAGATCTGTTTTCCAGCTCCTCCCCTTCATCAGGATGGATACTGTCAGGGGCAGGGAAGGGAGTGTGATGCTACAGGGGGCAACCATCTCCAGCATCAGGTCTGATGTGCTTTCATTGGTGCTACACTGATGCCAGCAGCCAAGGAAGGATGGTGGGGACATCACAAGAAGGGACAAACCAGAGCAGAGCTGGTACTGAAGGGCTGTTGGAAACTCAGAATGATGAAGGTCTCTGTGTTTGGGTGTGTGCAGACACAGATGGCTTCATTTCTATGTGGGTACCCAGCGCAGGCAGGTTTGGTACATGCATTCCTTCCTGCAGAGAGGTCCGACGGTGCTCAGGGATGAGTGCTCCCACGTGGCCAGGTTGGCGTGGGCAGCTGTGGTGCCGATCAGAGTATTGTATTTGTACATGGGTGCCGTTGGTGCAGATGGCTCGGGGCTGTTTGATGAGTGGGTGGCCAGATGGACGCATGCGGATGCTGTCATGTGTTATTGCCTAACGTGGTGCGTGGATTCATTTGAAGGCGCGGCCACTTGCTGCGGGTGCCTGCAACTCGCTCTCTGCCTTGAGCGTGGCACAAGGCTGTTCCCATGCACGTGGCCACAAGGAGACAATCACCAGTGTGACTCACCTGGGGGCTGAGGGTATCACAGGACGGCAGCGAGATGCCCCCCATCTCGCCTGCATGAGCTCTGCGTGCACGCAGGTGCTTGGTCCCATGTAGTTGGAATATATTTGCTTGCATGTCCTGCACACACACATAGCATTTGGAAAAAGCAAAACCTGTATATCACTGCATGGACATTTGCATATGCTCGGGGCTGTTTGCTTGGAGCTGTGCATATCTGAATCTCTTCTGAGCTGATACAAACCATAAAGCTTTCAATTGCCCCAGCTGCCTCAAGTCAGTGGGAGTGAAGGGCACCAAGAGCCGTGTTACGATTCTCTGTGTTGGGGCTGCTCAGGTGATGGGCTCTGTGGCATCTCAGCCCTGGGCTCATGCCTTGCTTTTCCTGGGGAGCTTCATGTTCCCCTCTGCAGTCTCAGGGCAGCATCAATCCATGGCAGTGGCTCTGAGCAGCTCGGGGCTGGCCTGATGCATTGCTTCCTCTTTCAAATTTCCATGTGTTGCTTGAGAGAAGTGAATTTGGAGCAGTTTGAAAGAGTCATTAAACATCCGGGGATGTACTGGGGCTTCTGAGGGGCTGCAGCCTGCACTGCGGTCCCTGTGCCACACCTGGCCGGTGTGGGGAAGGCTCCATGGCCCCCACAGAATGAATCGCAGCACGTGAGTGTAAGTGCCGGCAGCCCTGCAGGCAGCTCGTTGCCGGTGTGTGAGCACGTAAGTGCAGGGGGTTCACTGCTGGCTGCTGCGCTCTGGCATCCCAGCAGCCGGCGGCTGATAGGCAGAGAGATGCAGGCTGCCCGGCATGGGGGGACACCTCTCTGTATTGCCCACACGAGTCAAAGGAGGGGTGAAGAGGGAATTGAACCCATTTGTTTTTCCTCCCCAGAAGAGACAGGCGAAGGAGACACCACATGTCGATGTGGGAGCCACGCAGCAGCCACCTGTATGTGGGCCGGGGGGGG